TAGAGACAGGCAAGACCACATTAAAAATATCAGGAAAAAATTTAGCAGCAGTAGAGGAGTTTAAAATATAAGATTTAACAAGATATCGAACAGGAGAGAGGGACAGATGGAAAACCAAGATAAATATAATAGAATGATGGCCCAAAATGAAAATGTCCTCAGAACTAATAAAGAACTGAAAATGGTGTGAGATAATTAGAACAGCATTACTTGAAGGTGAGAGTGAGCTCATGAGGAGGGGCAGAACCCACAAACTGAGTGGAAATGCAGCTAAAGTAAGCATTCCAGGTGAGGCTGGAGGCCACTGTCAAGAACAAAAACAACATAAAAAATCTATAAACAGGAATGCAGGTTAATAGTAAGGTGAGCCTGATTACCACCACAGAGATCTGTTGGTCATTCAGCCAAATACTTCAGGGGTTGATTGCAATAGTTCAGAGCAGGTGTGAGAATGACAGACCAGAGCGCTCCACCTTGATTTGCACCTTGAACTCAGAACCACCACAGGAAAATTTTTAAAAAAGGCATAAAGTAACCCAGTCTGCCCCAGCGATGACAATAAGCAGTAATTGTTTTTTAAAAGATTAAATGAAACCTTAACTGTTACTGGCATGTATGTGTTTCTTATTTTTAATTTTCCTAGAATTTGCACTCATAAGAACCATGGGAACCCTCAGAAACCTTGAACTGACGCTGGAAACGGTAAAAAACAAAACAAAACAAAAACCTCTCCTATAGGTAAGAATATGGAGCTCATACACCGCAGCATTATATTAACCTGTGTGACATCAGTGAAATTGAATCTTCTGAGACACAGCTATCATTATTATTATTATTATTATTATTATTATTATTATCATCATTATTAAATGCACATTTTCACTCCTGCTGTCTCCAACTCCTACAAATATGAACAGTAAATTCTTCTTTGCTGCATTCCCTCAAAGATGAGCCCTTTCTAAAGATGTGAAGAAGGCTGGGAGCAACACAGAGAAACCTGCTATTATTTATCCACCAGGAAGTTGTCCTGGAGCAAGAGCAGAGACGATTGCAGAGCTGAAAGGGGAGACCTGGTTAAGATAGACAGCACGGAGGAGCAGATATAAAATGTTGCTGCAGGTTCATGTTTTCTGATTCTTACATTTTTGTCATCTTGGCACAGAAAACAGCAATTTTAACCAAAATTTCCCTTTAGGAATTCCTGGTTGAAAAAATAAGATACAAAATGAAGGATTCGGAGGACAAGTTCTGGATCGGACTAACAGACTCAGCATCTTAGGGCACATGGTTGTGGACGGATGGCTCACTATGAATTCTGGGATAGGTTGGACCACGAAGGATATTTACCTCGCCTTGTTTCTTGTGTTTTGGTATCAGCCGCAATCAAGGCTCGTTTTTGGTTTATTCAAGTTACTTTCCACGTTCCATTTTGTCAGCATTTAAATCCATTATTCACTCTTCACAAAATCAGCTTCTGCCTGCTGTTAAAATATTTTTGTCTTTTTTACTTCCTCACATGCATACCTAGACTGTAAAAACAAACAAACAAACTGTACTGCACTGTACACTGAAAACTAACAACTGGATCAAGTGACAGCAAGTGATCCTTACAGTGGCCTATGCAACAAGTTGGATGTGACACGGTTTCACAGCACTCTGAGAGTTTGGAGAAGGTGGCCAAACAAGACACCATAAGCAGATGTTCCAATTCGGACATATTATATAATCATGGGAGTTGAGCAGGTTGTGTGGCCAGTGTATTGTTGACATAAAGCTGATAAGTCAGCCTCTAAAACATCCTGAACAGCAGG